GTAATCGTGGCGCTACCGAGCGTTCCCGACGGCGGTAGCGGACATTCCCGACTATATCCAAAATGGCGGCGCGGATGTACCGACTAGCTATTTTAGTACTTTCCCGTCGCGCTGTGGAATATTTAGGCCGATCTGAACATCGGCAACCCGGCCAATTGTGGAGTTATATTGTAGGGAAGCTCGGGACAGCAAAAAACCGGGTCAAAAACGGAGCATCGAGCAGCCAACGGGAAATGTGCAGTTCTGCCAATGGATCTTTCCACGACTCTTGCTGAGGGTAATGCAATGTAAGCCCGAGTCAAGAGTCGCCACGGCTAGGCGCACTGCGGATTCTCTGCCGGTCGCGCACTGCGCGACCAGAGTAACAAGTTTAGTCGCATTTCTTAATTTTTGGTCGCATATGCGACCAAAACGGTCGCAGTCTGGAGGGTTGATCTACAATATAAACCCAGTACTTGTACCACTTCAGTCAGGTTAGGTGCAGGTAGACATGTGAAACACCTGCACAGCTCCAATTTTACCTGCACTAACCTGCATATACATGTACTCAATACATGCACCAGTGCAGGTTAGGTGCAGGTAGATACCAGAAATACCTGCACAGCTCCAATTTTACCTGCACTAACCTGCATATACATGTACTCAATACATGCACCAGTGCAGGTTAGGTGCAGGTAGATACCAGAAACACCTGCACAGACCCAATTTTACCTGTACCAACTAACCTGCATATGCAGGCATTTCCAGCCCTGTAGTACTAGTCATATTCAAGTTTTCCTCCCGGCACTCTGTGTTTATGATATCTGCTTGCTATGTTTTCACCTCCAACTAAAATGTCTGCAAACCAAGGAAATAAACTGGTATGCCTCTAGGTCCTTACCCAGTCTCCATAAATTACACCTGGTCCATAATGCTATTGACAGTTTTATGTCTGCCAGAGTCTGGATCTGGTCGCCTGTGGTTTGGGCTATGATGATACTGTCTGTTTTACGAGCGCTTCTGACAATATTGTTATTTATGACCCTCACGCTGGCGCCGATCTAACCGCCGAGATACGAGGATTTTATTTCGGAAACGCTGACCAGGTTGATGTTGGGATCTTGTCCTTTATTTCATGGATGATTACTCGGCAGTATGTGTTGGTCAGCAGATGTCTGAAGTTTGGGGGGTTTTGAATGTCTGGCGGTTATGAGGATTTCTGACTTTTATTGCTGGCGCCAAACACATTGAAGATTAATGGACAATAAAATGCTTCCTGAACGACTAATCGTAGATCGAGTCTGTCTATTCTGGGTCAGAAGCATAACAAATGTGGCAAGGTGGTCTTGTGGTCCGGATTGTTGACTCGGAATCTGAAGGTTCTGGGTTCGAATCCCTGGCAGGCCCCAGTGTTGTGTCCTTAGAAAAGGCAATTAATACCTATATGTACTTAGTATTTCCTCACTTGACTCAGGTGAAAATGAGTATTATTTTATTTCAACTTACTATTTGGTAGAAATCTGATTTGAAAGATTTTATCTGGACTTCAGAGAGATTAGCAGTCCTGAGTGACCAAATGAGGGACCATTACGGTTTAATCCACTGTCCTTAAAATATCCATGATCTTCTTGGAAGAGAGGTGAAATATTGATCCGTGTTCTCTCTCTGTGCCAGTAAATTGCTGTGTGCGGAAGTGTACCACATTAACCAGCAGCCACGGTTTGACTCACTCAGTGAGTAAGAAGGACTCGAATCTTTTTTGTATGATACAATATAATAGACATGTAACTGTATAGTTTTGCCGCATAAGCTTGTATTGTATGAAACAATACTGTATACAATAATACAGTAAAGCCTACATACAAGTGACCACTTCTGTATAAGGTCCTGGCCATCTTTCCCCTCAGACAGTTTTGTACAGTAGGTAAAGCTTTGTAAGACCAGACTGTAAAGTGTAAGATTTGAACCACTTACACCAGGTAGGACCTCTGCTCTTTGCAATTTGGGATGTCTAATGTTCTCATGGTTTACATGTACATATCGCATGTGGTGTCTCTTCTTAAACACAGGACCTCTATCACCCCATCTAACCAAAGCTAGGTACTAATTTTCAAGAGTCAAGACTTAGTGAGGAAATGGTGTAAAGTGTCTGAATCCCAAGGACATGACAGTTAGGCCTGCCAGGGATTTGGACCCAGAAATTTAGATTCTAACGGTAATCTAACCACTAGACCACCTTGCAACACAGTTTTCATGTTGATCTCGTTTTTTTTTCAACCTAAGAACCAAGGAATAGAATTGGCAAGGCCCTAAGCTGTGAGGGTGCAGAAGAAGATTGCTGCATTTAGCAGCCTCATTTTCAGTTTGATTGACAGCTGAATTGGACCGCGAGGAACACGCTCAATCAGTGTTGGAGTCCCGCCATGAATTATTGATTGCAAGAATTAACGTCTCCTGGCAATTCCTGCCACGCAAGATGAAGAGGGATGTATAATTTCTCTGCTTCTTCTTTTCTCAAAGATAGTTCTGACAATCCATTTGGGGTAATTGTGTTAGGATTAAAAAAAAAAGTAATAGATGTAGCAAAATTATTCAGTGTCAGAATTCAATCATGGGATATCATTACAGAGCTTAGGACGCGATTTACACGCAGGCGAAAACCTCTGACAGAACAGAAACTGTGTGCGCACGCAAACATACGAAACCTGCGTACATCTCATTTTTCCTGCGTGTTAATGGCCTGCTTTGACGTATGTCATGAACTCATGGCTAGCTGAGGGCCAGTGTACGATCTGAATGACATATATGTATGCTCATGATGTACGCGTCAAAGCCGACAGATTTACACGCAGGAAAAATCAGTTGTTTTCGTACTGCCGTGTTTTTCCCACAAGAAACTCAGGTCTAACACTGAAATATTTACGCAGAACTTCCCTTTGCTAGCCGAGGTTGCCAAGTTTGTAGTCTCCCCAGCCATCCTGGAAGTCCTGTGTCTTTTGCGCCAGTTGACACGTCCTAACGATGTTTACATGCTCAACCTACCGCAGTGATTCAGTGACAGACAAGGTGACACAGCAGGGGATACAGGCGTCTGTTAACACCTGCATGAAAGGCACCTGTTTGACACACATTCCAAACACCTGTCTGAAACACATTGTGAACACCTGTCTGAAACGTCATGTTTGTAAACACCTGTCTGAAATGTATTCTCAACACCTGTCAGAAATTTATTCTAAGCACCTGTCAGAAATTCATTCTAAACACCTGTCTGAACACACATTGTAAACACCTGTCTGTAATGCACATATACTATAAACACCTGTCTGGAATATTTGTCAATATCTGTCTGAAACTGATTCAAAGCACCTTTTCTGAAACACATTCTAAATACCTGTCTCGAAAGTATTCTTAACACCCACTGTATGTACATGTACAAACTGTACCTGACACAGATTTTTAGCACCTGAGACACATTCACCTGAAACACCTGTTTGAGACACATTATAAACACCTGTTTGAGACACAATCTCTGGATTCGTTATTTGATCAGAATCTGTATTCCTCCCATGTCCTCAGACTTGCTCCTGTGACTTCTGTACTCCAGTGATTGGAAATCAATGAGTATGAAGGCCAATGATTGCCCACAGAGTCTTCTAAGTGACTGTTATCATGACCAAGTTGTCATGTTCGATTTTCTCCCATTGTGGACTATGTCTTAGTCCTGATGGCAACTGGATTTCTGTATTATGTAGTTATGGTTGACTCCATATCAGATCAGGTGAAATGTTTATTGAAAAACCTGTAGATTGATTTATATCTTGCTCATAAGCCAGTGGGATAAAAAAACTTTCATTGTGTCTGGCAACAGTATCAAGAAAATCTAAATGAAAGAACGATAAAAGAAAAGAAAGAACTGGACTGAATGATTTATATTTTAACTACCATATACCAGCAACCCATACCAATACATAACTGTAAAGTTTGAAGGGAAATAAGTCTACCTTAAAATTGTATTATCTGTCCTTAAACTTTTGCTCAGCCATGTCATTTCTTCCACCATTGCCTCAAAAATTGTGGGGAATCTGACTAAACTAGCAACATTTCCCACAGTTAACAGGCTTGTCTGTCCCGTGGTTCTGCAATCCTTCTCCATCGATCATAACCCACTGTTTTGACAGGCTTCCTCGCCCTTAGAGATTTTCCACTAGTGATGATAAAACTAACCTAGAAGTGCTTACACGTAACAGAGAACCATCACAACGACTTTGTCTCCATAGGAACAAGGCAAAACATGTCAAGTCTAATAAACTTGTTAGTCTGCAGGCTCAAGTCTTCTTGCAAAGACAGGAAAGGCATTGGCAGCACTACATGTACATGTACTAGTTATCTACTTTTTTATCGGTCCCTGCTTTTCTTCAAACATTTGACAGCAAGGCTCAAAATCCTTTTTTCTGCATACCTGCACTGGTACAGGCAACATTTAAAGTTACCTGCACCAGACAAGTTTTACCTGCACTACAGTGTCTTTGCTTGTTGTAAAAAATTTGACAAGCTTTTAAGATAATAGTGTAGAGGGACAACAGAAATATCTGCACAGCTTGGCTTTTACCTGGCAAGCACTAACCTGCAATGCAGACTGTATTTTGAACCCTGTAGAGTGTGGAAAAACATTTCACCTTTTATTATTCTAATACTTACATGTATGTTTTACCTTGTGTTCGTGTATTCATGTGGATTTGACATTTGTAGACCGGTACCTGTTTGTCTAGTATGTAGGTTGACAGCATTTTGGTATGGAGGAAAGATTGACAGGCAGAATGCCAGGAGGCCAAAGGTCTTAGAATTTGTCCAGCAGCCTGCAGAAACTAAAAGTCAACATGGGGGAATTCAGGAAGCTAAGATTTCCATGTACTTAGGAAGTACTACTCTGAAGTCCGAAATCTGTAATTTGCTTGTTTTGTATATTAGATGTTTAACCAGTCATCAAAGTAATATAATTTGTGCTTTCCCTTGCTGTACAGAATGGCCAGACAGCACTGATGCTGGCTGCTGAACATGGACAGCTGGAGATGGTACAGGAGCTGATCACCAAGGGGGCAGACGTACATGTGGAGGATGAGGTGAGTCTGAAAGTGTTGTTGTTGTTAGCTTCTTCTTCGAGTCTGAAAATCAGTCTGAAAGTACTGGTACAGTAACAGATTCTTGCAATACAGGTAATACATATATCATCTGTGACCAGACTTTCAACCAAGACCAGGTTTACCCACAGGTCTAGAGGATGTGCTTTGGGACAGCCTCATTGATGAGACATGTCTGCATAACTGCGGTGTGACTCAGTAATGTAGTTTTATACATGTCTACAGCAGGCAACAGACATGCAATTTTGCCATATACATGTTGCAGAAAATCGAAGACAGGAAATACTGGGCACCTTTCTGGGACCTTTGACTTACATTGTAACTTCCTATCAGTGTCGTCATGATGCCTAGCTACCATATGGAAATAACTGTACAGAAACACAGGCAAACACACAGACAGACACACCAAAAACAAAACTTCCATACTCTAAGGTAATATGACATGTATACATGCAGGTGTTTTTTATCGAGTTGAAATTGAAAGACAAGACAAATCTGAAAGGTTTTGCGTGCCCGTCTGCGAATGGGACATCAATATGCCTGTCAAGTTCAACCTTTCAAAAAGCCAGTTCATCATGACAGAAATTAATCCATGTTCCTGATGAGGCACAGGTCGGTACATCTGTGTTCCCCTGAGGATATATCCTGGTTGGGAAATGTAAGAGCCTCCTGTGATTGGAATATTGTCAACGTGTTGTATTGGTCGTGATCAGCATATTTATGGAACCCAGATTTTCACAATATACTCCGGTACATGTACATGTAGCTCGTTTAAATCCAGGCCTTTTTGATGGCAAACTTGTTTTACTTTCATATTTAGAGGTATTGTTTTAGTTGTGTTTGTTGTTTGCTTGCATGTTCATATAGTAGAGTTCATATAGGATTTGGGTGGGGGGAATTTCCTAATCCCAGGCCACAAAAGGTCAGGTACAGGAAGTTAGGTCCCAGAAGCTGGCTGAATGTCAGAAGGAAGTTGGCAGAAGACTGCTGGCTGAGAAAGTATGAGAAAGGACTAAAATCGGAATTAAAGAAAAATGAAAATATTTGATGGAGGTACAATGATTTGTTGTTTTGGATCCTTTTTAATTGTCCAGATTGAATATTGTTGCAAATGCATTGAGAGGATGTCAGGTAGTGTGCAGCCTGGACCAAGTTGGAAATTTCAAGTACAAAATGTTTGGAAATACATGTAGAAGAAGGATTTTGGAATTCATTGAAAACATGTTCATAATTTACCACACCATATTAATACCAAATTGATCCTTATCTGGTACATTCAAGTGCATTAAATAGTCTTGCTGGTCTTCATTAGTAGGATGCAAACAAAGGTTGAAGCCTTCAGTTCAAATCAAAATGAGTCATGGTACTATGGATGCGCATTTATAATGTGTATGTAAGCAGTTTCTTGGAAATACAGGTCATTGTGGCCAAACAAATTTAGATCTGGTGCAATATGAATGTGAAATGTTATGTAACTTCAAGGGACTCTTTTAGTGTTTTTAAATTGGAAAAAAAACTGCAATAAAGACTTGAGTGCAAAACAGTTACGTCAACATGTGTTTAATCATAATTGTAATTTGCAAAACAATAACCTTAATATGAACTTGTATAATCCCTGCTATGAGCTTTGATTGTTCTGCATGTATTATCTGGATAATACAGTTCTATATGATTATCCCCCATAGTCCCAGAATCAGACAGGGGAAATCAGTTCAGTGCTGCTGCTGTCATGTACTTGTGTAAAGTACAGTATAGGTAGACGTCAGAAATACCTGCAAAGCTCCAATTTTTTACCTGCACTTAAAAAGAAGGCGGTACATGAATGTCAAGCCCTAAACAAGTCAAATTGGGATAGCCTTTTATGCATTATTCCTGTAGCATCCTGCCAAACCTTTTCAGAACATGCTTGGATATGTGACCGGCATCTTAATGTTTGGGGTCAAATCTGACATGCTTGAAAACCTACAGGAGCATTTCCACATCTGATGCTGCATGAATCTTTCAATGCATGAGTCACTAAAAGCTTTTTATTCATACATATTCCAGTGTAGTCAGAAAAGTCGCTCATCCAGGCATTATACACATGTATATATAGCCTGATTTTGCAATTTGAAAATTCAACCAGCTACATTTTGTATATGTCAGCCAAAAATTGATACGCTGGCTCAATGTAAAAAGCATATAATTTTGTATTTAATGGTAGTAACTGTTCTTTTTGGAAAAAGGACAATTAGGCCACACCAATTTAATTTGTTGGTTCTCGGATTTTTTCAGAAAAAAATATGAAGCGACAGGGCGAAAAAAAATAAAAATAAAAACAGGTCTACGCATCCTATTATAGGCTTAAATGCTATGGAATGAGCCATGAAGTCAACACAAAAGGCTGGGTTAAAATTTAAACATTGAATTTTGAACTTTTAATCAAACCACTGCAATGATAGATGGGAAAACTGTAATAACTAGGAAGTAAAGGACTTTCCTCAACTGTTGGGGGCAAAACATGAGCATTTTTCAGTTGATTCAGGACCAGAATCAAATTTTTTTTTTTTGCAAATCAGAAAAAAATGAAGAGGCGAATCCGAGAACCAACAAATTAAATTGGTGTGGCCTTATGAATGTAATAGTTAAAATTGGTTTTCTTATTTGCAGTATATTTTAAATGTGTATTCTATCTAAAAAAGTTTTTCCTGCTCCCTAACCCCATAACCATAAAAATTTTAGGCCCAAACACTACATGTACCTTAGCAGGCTGAAGGTTAATGAATTGATGTTAATATCTAAGTTGATATGCATCATGCATATTAAACACCATGTAGGAGTATTGTACATTAAAAATATGTGCTGTGTGCAGTCCTCTTGAGTAGATTAGTGGCTATATAGAATGCAAAGCCAGCAGATTTCACAGACATACATACTTCAGTGCCATTAGGCCACGATAATTTAATTTCTTGGTTTTCAAAATTTAAAACAATTATGCTTGACTGACAATGAATTATCCACCTGAAAACAGATCAGAAGAGAAAGTTTGTATTCGCACCTTAGTACACAAAGTTTTAGGGAGTCAATCTAGTCAGATGCTAGTATGATCTGCAGTTAAGAATTAACGGTGCACACCCCAGTTCTTCCGCGACCGGGGTCCGTGATAGTCCGTTGTAAAAAAGTGACGAAAGGGCTTTGAGGGTCCAAGTTTGAGGTGACATTTCTTATAAACTGCCACGAAGTATCATTAAACATTAACATGGCTGAAGAGTGTAAGAAATGGTGATTTTGGGGTGAAAATTTCTTTTGGCTCCGAACCTTACTTCCGGGTATCCTTGCGCGCCAAGTGTAATCCGCCCGTTTGACCTAGTTTTCGCTCTGTGGCTTCGTAGGGGTGGATTTGCAACCCCTCGCGCCGTGGACTGTTTAGAAAATTACAGTACTAGAATTTTCTTTATAATTTACTCGGGTATAGTCAAGGCTTGGGTCTTTCTGCCAGCATCAGTCATTTCTGCCGGAAAATTTTTTTTTGGTGGGATTATCCTACGCGAAAATTCGCAATTTTGGGCATTAATTTTGGAGTGAAAATAATGTTTTTTCCGTTGATTTTACCAAACTTAAAAAGGTTGAAGAAACCAAACTCAGCTTGTCTTGTAGCTGAAGAGATACCCTTTCGTCCCATATACAGTTATTCTCCTTCCGAATTATTCCACGCCAGAGACGGTCGCTAGATTTGAGGGTGTGCAGCTTCGAAAAGAGGCCCCAAATAAACTGGGGTGTGCCCCCTTAAACAGGTCCGTCCTTCAAAAAATATTAGCTATGGCAGCCAACAAATTGCATTTCATCCAGTAAAGTGTATATCCTTTACCCAATCATGGCGAAAAAATCTTGGATTTCGCAAGTTTTAATATGATTATAGAATGTCATATAATGCGCTGATTTGCCCCCCTCCCCACGCCCCCCCCCTTGAACACGGTCAAACCGACTTCGAAGTGTGTCTACTAAAGATCGATGACGTCATATCTACCGCGATTTCATTATTTGCATTGCCCTGTCCCTGAGGCACCTGGAAACTGCGTATGTACGTGTGCCAGGCGCTCCAGCATTAAGGAGGAGACGTTTTTAATTAAAAAAAGGCCATGATGACGTCATTCCCCTACTTTCCTGTCAAATCTAGTTTCAAGTTCGGCCTATCACGAGATTTCAACTTTCAGACAAATGAGTTGCAATAATCGGAAGATACATCCTCCTGCTTTTATATCTCATCGAGACCGACACCAAACTGTACAGGCTTCTCTCAGCAGATGGCCATTTATACCGTCCTAGCTGCTAGAAGGACGCCGCAGGCCTACAATCTAACCAAATGTCCAACATTAAGCTTCGTTTTCCTGCAAAACAAAATGAATCTCCGCAGCGGAAACACTTGGGTAAGATCTCTTGGTTTGTTCTCTACCGGGTATGACCAAAAATTTCAATATCAACTGCTTCCTGTCAACGTACAGAACTTAAAACCATAGCGATCTCACTTAAAAAGTTCGGCTAGAGGAGGGCATTGTGACGTCATCAGCTAAACTACATTCTGGGTGGTTTATACCGTTTATTTCAGTCAGAACTAGAAGGAAAACCTACTCCATCGCAAGAACAGCCCTCTAGCATTCCTTTACATGGCAAAATCTGTTTATTTAGCATGGTTTAATGCGCTAAAGCCCGTTCCAAAGGAACGGCCCATTGTGACGTAATTCCCATTATGTGCGTGAATGGAACACACCCGTGGAAGCGCAAAATGAGCCTCCCGACAGGGTAACTTTCAACCACCTGTTACTCGGGAAGGAAAAGTCGCAGAAAACTCAAACTTGGCACGATTGATAGACTATGACATAGTTAATTAAAAAACAATGTTAATTAAAATTTGGCTTAATTAACGGTGCACACCCCAGTTCTTCCGCGACCGGGGTCCGTGATAGTCCGTTGTAAAAAAGTGACGAAAGGGCTTTGAGGGTCCAAGTTTGAGGTGACATTTCTTATAAACTGCCACGAAGTATCATTAAACATTAACATGGCTGAAGAGTGTAAGAAATGGTGATTTTGGGGTGAAAATTTCTTTTGGCTCCGAACCTTACTTCCGGGTATCCTTGCGCGCCAAGTGTAATCCGCCCGTTTGACCTAGTTTTCGCTCTGTGGCTTCGTAGGGGTGGATTTGCAACCCCTCGCGCCGTGGACTGTTTAGAAAATTACAGTACTAGAATTTTCTTTATAATTTACTCGGGTATAGTCAAGGCTTGGGTCTTTCTGCCAGCATCAGTCATTTCTGCCGGAAAATTTTTTTTGGTGGGATTATCCTACGCGAAAATTCGCAATTTTGGGCATTAATTTTGGAGTGAAAATAATGTTTTTTCCGTTGATTTTACCAAACTTAAAAAGGTTGAAGAAACCAAACTCAGCTTGTCTTGTAGCTGAAGAGATACCCTTTCGTCCCATATACAGTTATTCTCCTTCCGAATTATTCCACGCCAGAGACGGTCGCTAGATTTGAGGGTGTGCAGCTTCGAAAAGAGGCCCCAAATAAACTGGGGTGTGCCCCCTTATGTTCTTCTACAATGTAGAAGACAAAGTGACATTTTCACTTAATAGAGTAAGGCGAGAAATGCACAGGTTTAACAAATGATTCAGGTAATGTGTCTTGCTAGCCTGCTGCAAAGACACAGTATTGCTACCAGTCCTATATGATTGTACAATATAATACTCAACCAATGAACACTCATGCCTTTTCACACCAGTCAAGATCAGTTCTAAAATTCATAGATTGACTGAAAATTTGTACTGTAAATCTTGAAAGTTTAACGGTGGTTATATTTTTGCAGCTTTTGTAACCTCACATCAAATTCATGACGCTGTGAACATATCTCCATTTTATGACTACTCGGAGCAGAATTGTTTCAACCATGCCCGTAGCCAGGATTTTGAATGGGGGGTTCTTCCCACTGCTTGAGGGGACCTCGAGCACCGTAGAAGGCGCGAGATTCCTCGAGGGGTCCGGGGGTATGCTCCCCTGGAAAATTTTGAAAATGAATCTTCTAAAATGTCATTTTTTGCTTTTGGGGAGGATTTCCAAGAAAAAATTAGAGATAAATTTTTATTCGATGACAAAGGGAGCAGTTTTTCTACGATTCCAGTCCGTCTTTTCAAGAAAAATCTTGGACCTTTACATAAAAAGTGGACCAAAAAGTGGACCTTTACATAAAAAGTGGACCAAAAAGTGGACATTTGAGCCTTGTGGGGGTTTTTTTCCGAACCCCCCGAACCCCCCTGGCTACGGGCATGCAAAACACCACAAAAACCTACTTTTCCTTCCTACTGCAAAATAAAACCAATGCAAAAAGTAAATGAATTTACAGTAGCCAGTCTGTTTCTTCTGCTTTATGCCTATAGAGGATGTGAAATACATTTTCCAGGTTTTCCATCTTCATTTGTTTTACAGACTGTGAAACGTGAGACAGCAGAATGTCTCTTATCTGCAACTACAGGCTGTGATCTTTCTAAAGGCTGTACCAATTCATTATCCTGGTTGTCAGACATTTCCTAGCAAAGATGCATCATAAGGACAAGATAAAAAGAGAGGGCTACATGTAGGAGTAAAACTCCTAAATGTTCTTGATTTCGGTCACAGAGAACTCCTCAACATCCGTTAGTTACACCAAAGTTATTCAGCAACATAAGGATTGTTTCTATTGCCATTGTAAGGCCACACCAGTTTGAATTTTTGGTCCTCAGGTTTAAAAAAAATAATGCTGAAATGGAATTTTTATCTATATAATCAACATGAAACAGAGGAGAATTTTAGCTAGGAGATTCCAGCAAAAGAATCGCTTGGGTTTTAGGGAAGAAAATTTTTATGTATTAAGATGTAGGTTTTATTTCTGGACCCCCATTTTTGTGTTCCCTTGCCGATTAAAGAATCTGAGAATCAAGAAAATAAAAATTGGACTGGCTTGACCTGGCTAGCTCCTAGCCAGATTCTGAAACGTTCACATTCACCTCATCTCATGAATTTGACCTTTTGACCTGTTTTTCTGCCTGTAAATCTTCCATCCACCCATGTGACCGTCTGGACGAACAGACACACAAACCTACAGCTCAGCCATCCAAAACATTACTTCTTTACCCTTAAGTAATAATACCAAACTATTATCTGCAGGATAACTGGACAGCTCTGACCTCGGCAGCTAAGGAGGGCCACCTGCCGATAGTCACTTGTCTACTGGACCGAGGGGCCAATATCGAACATGTAGACATGGTAAGACTTCCACAGGACCTGCTCTACATTTTTATTATGCAATTTTTGATAATTGTTATTAATAATCTTTGTGTTTTCAGTATCACAATGTTGCCTTTAGCTGAGAAGTTGATGAGAGATACAGTTGCAAGATCAGGTCACCATGCTGCAGCACCTCCTAGTGATCATTGTCAAAAATGCAGTAAAAAGGATATTGCCCCCTTGCCCAGTGGCTACTCTCTATATAAAAGTTCCAGTGTTCTATTAAAAAAAAAAAAACTATTTTCATCAAGAAAGCTAGCATTTCAATATGTATATCCATTCCTGATGTATGTAATTTTTTTAATGATATGATATCATCTAAATAGATAGATGAATACCAATATATATCTGTGAGTTATTGAAACATTTTTTCTGACCTTCTTAGGGTGGCTGGCCGGGGCTGATGTGGGCCTCCTACAAGGGTCACACAGCTGTGGCTCATGAGATGTTACACAGGGGAGCCAACCCGAATGTTCAGGGACAGGTGAGTACAACTTACATGCAGGTGTTACTACAAGTGTACAATGTACATGTATCTGTGTCTGTATCCCTGTAACAGGTAAAGCCTACATTGTAGTTAAGAAATATTGAGTTTACGGTTTCAGTCCTGAAAAAACATTGGGTTGGCAAATTGGGATTCCCTTTTTTTTCTTTCCATTTAGATTTAGGTGATCCAACAACTACAGTTAAACAGTGTAAAACTGAATTGCCTCAGCATCATGACGGTCCTTAGGAGTTGTCCATTTCCAAACAGTTTTTAGTGTGAATCAGCCTACGAAATTGTGCCAAGAAATGCCAGTGAATGTCAATATCAGACAGATCTACTCATCCAGAACATGCCATTGGATGCCTTTGAAGTACATATGAAGTTATTTTCAGTGGGTAGTCCTGACATTGTCTAATATGTTTGTTATATGTTTTACCAGCATGGAGTGTCTCCTATCATCTGGGCAGCAGGCCGGGGACACACAGACATTGTGGAGGCACTGCTGAGACATGGGGCCAAACCTAGTGCTTTTGACAAGGTACTTCAAGCAAATCTTAACTGTAACAGTACTGTAGATTGAATGAAAGATCAAGGATGTGTGCTGATGGAGAAATGAATCTGAAATTTATAAAGAAATGGATGTCAATGGCATTATTTTGATGAATGGTTTCTCAGTTGTATTTGTCAGCAATGATGTGATTGAAGTGAGTGAGTAGTGAACAAATCGATGAATGAATGATTACTGCTGTTTGATGCTTATTGCTGTCATGTTTGTTTACAGTACGGTACAAGTGCGTTAGTGTGGGCGTGCAGACGGGGACACCAGGGGTGTGTACGGGCCCTGCTGGACGCTGGCGCAGATGTGGACACAGCTGGGGCGGTAAGTCATTCTGTAACCAAGTTTTCTAGTTTTTGTACTTCAATCTGTGTCATGTAATTTTGCCCATATACAAATTGTACATGTAAATGTAACTGCATAAAGAAATATGTATATTAAGGACATCTTAATAAACCAAACCAAGAAGGTTCTACGTGTATATTCAACAACCAAGGGATTTCACATCCAACATTTCTGTGATGTCACCTTCCATCGTCAACCACCTATTGTTGCCCTGAAGAAAGTGACAGACAGTCACTGAAATGCCAGTTGTAAAAACCTACAGGTTGTTGAATAAAGAAACATCTTATACAGTCTCTTGTCAACCTGACTGAAATTATCATTCAAAGAAGCTTAAAGTTGTGATCTCTCTCCTCCCACAGAAATCTGAGCCTCCCCTGATCACAGCAGCTAAGGGAGGCCACTATGAAGTCGTCCATGATATTCTCAGGAGGAACCCAAATGTCAACTCTGTGGACAAGGTACAGGACAGTCTTTGTGTGATTCCTTCTAAAGCCACATCATTTAATTTTCTTGGTTCATAGACTGTCACATTTCTTGACAAAAATTCAGCAAGAGAACAAGATGAAAACACAGGGCTATGGAGTAAAACTTGCAGGTTTTGTAGAATTACAAACACAATGATGGCACTGTATACATGATAATGTGCAGTACGTGTAAGAAATATTAGTAAGTTCATAATTTGCCTTTCTCCAAGACTACTATGAAGTCAGTTAGCCTGGCTATCAAACCTATTTTAGCTGCTGAGTCTCTTTCATCCTCTCCACAAATAGATTTGGTAAAAGTCAATGGCATACAAAAACTGACCTGTTGCCCTTTTTGTACCCCAGGACGGCCACACAGCACTCAGTATAGCAGCTAAGGACGGACACACAGACATTGTGAGAGAGCTTCTGGCCAAAGGAGCATATCTGAACCTTACAGACAAGGTAGGAAGAACCAGCATTATACAAATATAGTACCTGTAAAATTTTGTAAGAATAGAGTCTGACATGCTTACAAAAGGCCCTCAATGTTTAGAAAGGATATATTTAACAAAAGACCAAACAGGGAATTTTCAATTTAAGTAACTGTCTTTTCCCAAGCAGGTCTTGAGGAGTGGACTAAAGCTAACATGGCTGGACTCCAGGCCATCTTTCCTCACTGCTGAAAGATTCTGTCTGAAACGTCTAATAAAATAAATTTAACTATTTGCTTCCTGTATCTATTACAATGTATGTAAAGTCGAGTGTACGAATGTTCATTTCGAGGTGGCCCCCCTCCCACCCTCAAGATTGTCTGTTTTTCCCCTCAGGACGGTGACACAGTCCTGATCCATGCTGTGAAGGGGGGACACCTGGGAGTGGTGCAGGCACTGCTGGACAGGTACCCTGATGTGGACATGCCGGGGGCGGTAAGTAACATCACCATCATCTGTCTGGGGAAAAGCTAAACTGTTGTATATTGAGACATCTTTGTATTTCAGCACTCTCTACCAAGCAAGAGACATCTGTTAAGTAATTCTCATACATTTCTTATTTATTGTACATGTACATGTACATGTAAGTAGAATCACCATCATTCTGCAGGGTTCAAATTACTGCTTAAATGCACACATAATACACATCCTTTGTGCATGTGAAATTTTCACTTCCTCCTTGTAGGCTATTACTAAGGACAAGCCTCTGTCATTTATTCCTACAGGACAACAAGACTGCTCTATACTGGGCTGTGGAGAAGGGTCATCCCAACATTGTACAGGCTATCCTGGACTACAATCCAAACACTGAAATAGCATCAAAGGTATGTTAACTTCTTGGCGACACCTCACAGATGGAGCCTTTTAGGACATATTGTTATCGTTGTTGAGATTCTTCACTTATCCTTTTGGTTATACATGTATGTCATGGATTGTGAAATCATAAATACATGTAATAGATAGATTGTGTCGGTAAAGTTGCCAGTAGCGGAGTACAGACTCTTTATAACTTTTTTGTAACAAAAGAAGACACTTGATGTTGGTTTGGCAATGAAATTACATGTAGGTCATCTTGCATGAGTGTTACAGGACTTACAGAACATCATGAAAGACATAGAGACTAAGAGATATAGACTTAACCCAGTCTGCCAGTACAGTCTGCCAGACTCAAAGGGGTTGCTGTAAAATAGCCTGGTACTGACTTTTAATATGATTGTAACTACATTTGCCTGTATAGGGAGGAGACACTCCACTGCTGAGAGCCACTCGACACAGAAGCATTGATCTGGTAGAGATGTTACTGAACAAGGGAGCAAAGGTCTCAGCAGCAGACAAGGTATGTGTAGTTCTACAATGCCCATACCAATTTATATCATTAGTTCAGGACAGGGCTCAAAATATTTTTTTCAGCATACCTGCACTGGGTAACATTGAAAATTTCCTGCACCAGACAAATTTTACCTGCACCATTCAGAATGTAGAAAAAATGTTCAGAAACCATTGTGCTTATTTCTTTTGACAGTCAATGCAGCTAATAAAAAGCCACACCAGTCATACATTTGTATATAAACCCAGTACATGGACCAGTGCAGGCTAGTCACTGCTCCAATTTTACATTGTACCTGTATTTCCAGCCCTGCAAGGTGAAAGTACAGAAAGTGAACATCATAAAAGCAGCGGGCAGGGAGGAAAACTTGAATATCACTTCCACATCCCATGAAACACACATCATAATCATTAAAACACAATACACTTAAATCATTAATATACTTGATCACACAATACACATCATCATCACACAATACACATCATCATCATCATCATCATCGCACAATACACATCATCATCACACAATACACATCATCATCGCACGATACACATCATCACACAATACACATCGTCACCACACAATACACTTCACCATCACACAATACACATCATCACACGATACACATCATCGCACAATACACATCATCATCACACGATACACATCATCACACAATACACATCGTCACACAATACACTTACATGTAAATACCTCCATTACCAATTAACTCAAGGAATGAAAGTTGTACAATATATTTCCAAGCCCGATTCATTCATTCATCCATGTTAACACACACAGAGAGGAGACACACCCTTGCATATTGCCATTCGGAACCGGCATCGAATCATCGCAGAACTCCTGCTGAGGAACCCTCGCGACGGCCGGCTGCTATATAAACCCAACCGCCAGGGGGAGACGCCGTACAACATCGACTGTGCGCAGCAGAAGAGCATTCTCACCCAGATATTTGGGGCCAGTAAGTGGAGTTTTCAGTTTTTTTTTAACTTTGTTTTGCCATTTTCGTGGGGTCCAGGAACATGCTTCCCTGGGAATATTCTAAAATCTTGACCCTCTGAAATACTATTTTCTGCACTTTCCCCCTTCCTGTACAGTGCCTTGGTGCATCTCATCCCATATCTTTACACACCGATTTTTGTCAGTCAAAGATGATGGCTTGGGCAAAACTTTTGTCCATCATGACTGGCAAAATTCCATCAAATAACAAAAAGACTACTGTCTAGAACACCATCTGACCTATTTCCTGTCTTTTCCCAGAATACCTCCATCCGAGTGAGAATGAGAACAGCATGCTGGGATACGACCTGTACAGCAGCTCCCTGGCGGACATTTTGAGCGAGCCGACCCTGACCCCACCCATCACTGTGGGGCTGTACGCACAGTGGGGCAGCGGCAAGTCCTTTCTTCTCAGGAAACTGCAAGGTGAGTGAGTGAGTTCTGGCAACCACAAGCATTTAAAAGAGACTTGCTTTGTGTGCTGCGACAAAAGTATTTAACAAGTGCTAAGGGCGCAATGTCATAATGAGCAGTTACTGGTATTGTTACTGAAGCAGTTACTGAAATTATCGGGTACACACAGACTTGATATGTACAGTTCTAAATCAGCTTATGTTGCATCTTGTTGTCTCTCTGCTCAGATGAAATGAAGGAGTTTGCCGAGCAGGAAAGCGAGCCGGTGTTTAAGGTGTCGTGGCAGCTCATCGTGGCGCACGCCGTCCTCAGCGCGGTCCTGGGGCTGGTGTTCGGCCTCACCGTCAGCTGGCTGGCAGGGCTGCTCGTCGGACTTATCACTTTTTTCATAGTTGTCATGTTTCTAGGTAAGTCCTCTCATCTACATAGACATGTATGTCTCATCGTCCTAGGCCTGTCCCAATCTGGAATAAGTTAGATTGTGACTTTCATTGTACTGATGTGTAAGCAGCTCATTGTCTGATATCATAACATTTAATAATTTAAAACATAAATTAGTCAAGGCTTCCAACAACACACCACAGTTACTGTATTAATCTCCCATTTACATGTACATGTACCCACTTTTTGTGAGTCAGTGTAGTTCCTTGCTTCAATGTGAGATATTCTTCCATTGAATATTAATGCTTCACTATGTTATGACCTGCTTTGTACATATATGCATCTATGCATCAACATTGTGATAAAGTCAAATAAACAAATAAACTTTGTGTAAACTATCGCTGAATGTCTGTCCCCACCATGTGTAGTGCATGTGGGATTGGGATTTTAGGGATTTGACTTGCACTAGGCATGGCAAACACACTGGAGTCTTGTAGAACTTGTAGGATTGTTGTAAGCTGTTGTGTAGGGTAGGACTCATTGCTTTGGCTACTAAATTGTATAAACTGACTTTCTGTCCCCATCAGGTATAGTATATGTGGGTTCTCAGGGATTTGACTGGGACTGGGCGTGGCAGGCGGGAGACTTTGTGTACCGACAGCTGTCCTACTCCCAGCTGCTGCTGCAGGTGTGCTTCTGTAACCCACCTGTCATCAGGACTCAACAGGCACTGCCCATCAGGTGAGTTTGGATGGTTCTTGTTCAAGCCAACTACTGTCACCATGGTAACTGGTGTCACCATGGTAACTGGTGCTGTAGCACATACCCAGTAGATTACATTATGTAGCAAGTGGCAGGACAGAGTTGAACTTATGTCACCGTTTGTATGAATGTGTTTGAGCAAGAATGAACACTAAAACAGAGCAGTAGTTTGTTAGACTGGACCATAGACGAAGTTAAGCATTATACATTTACTTTACAAATTTAATGTTACCTAAAATTTCTAGTGGTTGACTGTACTGTATTTTTGTTTCTGCCCGCAGGTTCCTGTTTACGGACTACGCGAGGCTGACCCATGTGGGAGGAGAGACGTCCCTGGCCGGGATGATCGGCACGCTGTGTGAGGCTGCTGAGCAGGAATTCGGCTTCCTCGTCACCAGACTGTTCCGCGTCTTCAAACCAGAACACAGTCAAGGTCAGCAACCTCAGAATCTGGAATTGTGTATTGTGTATTGTGTACTGTCAACTGTCAAAAAACACCACTTGGGACTGATGAAATCTGGTCAATGTGGACAGATGGTCACTTTAGACAGGATTCATAATGCTTGTGTCAATGGGAAGAGATATACATGTAAGCTTAGATATGCTTGTTCGGTCATACAACCGCTTTTCGACAAAGTCAAGAAAGGTGAGGGGGGTCACGGATTGATCACGACAAACAAAAAAATTGTTACATAATAAATAGTAAGTCCATCTTCTTTTTTCAGGTGAGAAAGGAGCAGGCCGGTTCAAACTGGTATGCTGCTGTCCCACCTTCCTCATCGTTATCCTGGAGGTGCTGGGCGTGCTGGTGAGCGTCATCCTCCTGGTCAACTTTCGCCTGGACAACGCCGCGGTCAACGGCTTCCAGATCGCGCTGCTGTCCGTGGTGGGTCTGACGCTGCTGCTGACCTGCCGCGTGTGGTTCGAGGTCCTCTGCTCGCTGGTCATGTCGCAGAAACACCGCGTGCTGAAGTCTGCCACCAACCTGGACAAACTCAGGATGGAGGGATTCATGCATGTAAGTACTGTGATTTGTTATTAAGACACAAATTGCACACTATTCTTCCTGGAGTCCACAAGGGTCATGATATACATAAGAGTGATGATTTAAATCGCTGTGTGGCTAATACAGACAGGGGTTTACCAGGCCCCCATCGTACACCATATTGTTTTTTGAAATGTGCGGTGAGTTCTTTAAAATGCATGGGGTGTGGCTCTCCCCAAACATGGGACCTCTATTCAACATCCTTTTCAAGAGATGTACCCAAACAAAGCTACATGTAGGTTCAAATTTTCACCTTAGTATTGGGAGGAAACTTGTGTTAAGTGCCTTTCCCAAGGGGAAACATTGGGGCATGTTGGTGGATTGGAACCCAAGACCTACATGTACATGTAAAGGTTGTGGGCCAAACTCCCGACCATTAGGCCACATGATCCCTCTTGCATTCAAACATTTGTTTCCTTTGGACTCCCGTGCAGGCCATGAAGGCAGAGGTAGACCTGTTGGCAGGGATGGTTCAGTGTTTCGATGCCTTCACCCAGCACCAGACCAGACTGGTGGTGGTGGTGGATGGGCTGGACTCATGTGAGCAGGACAAGGTAACAACGCCCAATCAATATTTCTGTTAACAAATCAACAGGCACTAGCTTTTTCCTTGCTGCCTTATCTGTGACAACCAAAGTTGGGTACAAAAGCACTAAAATAGCACCTCTGAGCTATTAGACCCAAATATTGAGTGCAAAAAATTACATGCGAAGAACCTGTAAATACTGTACATAGAGTCTCTTTTGTCTGCCACAACCAGTACAAGATAGAGTAGCTCAGTGAGCTAAACTGGTTTGAGATCACTTTCTGCACGATAAAGCATGCAACATGTCTTGTTTTGTTCCTTGTTCAGATCCTGCATGTCCTGGACACGGTGCACGTGCTATTCTCTGGAGCAGACCAGCCCTTCATCACAATCCTGGCTGTAGATCCACACATCATCATCAAGGCTGTGGAGGTCAGCTTCACTTCACTCATGTGGAAAACAATGACTCTGTCCCAATCAGCACATTCGGGATATTTACGTACTGTAGATCTAGAAGAATAATGGTACAGCACTGTATGACATATGCATCAGTGTGTTTCAGATGGGGAAATAATCTAGTGTATCTCGATAGTGAACTTTTTAGCAAGGTTTACCATCAATAATATATTGTACAAATGTACAGTAACTATAAATAGTAGTTGGTACATCCACCAGACATGCAAAGTCTGGATGGACATTTTCCGTCTTCAATTAAAACAGTTTTTCTACTCCAGGTAAACCTGCACTCTGTATTCCGTGACTCCAACATCAACGGCCACGACTACCTTAAGAACGTGGTGCATCTTCCCTTCTACCTTAAGAACCGTGAGGGAGACGTCCTTAAGAAACACGTGGTGAATGGATCTGTGGGCATGAGGTCCGGGGAGTGCTCCCCACTGGCAGAAGAGCCAGCTGTTACATCAGTCGTTGGCCCCACTGGAGAGACTACAGTGCTGACTAGACGGCCGCGGGTTAGTGTCATACTTCAACTTGCATGTATAGTACTAGTTATAATATATAATTTGGCTACTGTAGTAGTAATGTCACTGTATTCTGCAGTATTTGATTGTTCTGCTGTGAGGCGCTCCAACACAGGTGGGCAGTAATTTACTAATCTTTACACAGCATTCCAGGCAGCTCTGTCCAGTGGGTCCACTCTGATGTCCTTCTTGACACTCTATACATGGCTGACATTACTATTGTGTTTGGCTGTGAAGGTCACAAAATGGGGTCCCTACTTAATGTCTTTGAAAATCCTTTTTTTTTCTTTCAATTGAAAATTTTGGTCCAGTTGTGGATACTTTTGGGCTACAAAAAACATGTAGGTTATAAAATTTCCTACCTTCAGCAGTTAAGTGGGCGTAATGATAGATATTCTGAGTGGTTAGGTCTTGCATGGCCAGAACAGATGGATACTTTGTTTTGTACCAAGGTGTAGACTTCCCCTTCTGATCTACTTTGCAGCTGCCGTCACAGAATTCTCTGGTGGAGAGAAGGTCCAGTAAGGTCGACTTCAGCACGCTGGCACGGAGGTTGTCACGCCAACCCTCGCTCTCCTTCACGCCAAAGCGGCCGAACCTGCTCAGCCGACAGCTGACCAGACAGTCGACCTTTGACATGTCGCAGGCGCTGGTGACGGACACGTATTTCAGCGGGGTGACGCCACACACCATGAGGAGGCTGCTCAACATCGTAGCACTTACAGGTTTGTATGTTTGTTTGTTTATTTACATGTAGAATCTCCATTAGTGATACAAAATTATGGTATAATCTTCCTGGATCTTTGTTTACAACACAATACATAGCAATACAATAGCAAGTAATCTTTGCTACGCGTGGTATTAGTTACTAGAACAAGTTTAGAGGTGGGTGAGCTTGCTAGTTGGACTTGAACTTGTTTGTTTTCAGTGGTGATGGTTTTGGTTAATGTGTTTGGTTGGATGGACACAGTTTGAAGAACGATGTTGTAGGGCTTGCGATTACAAGTGTATGAGTAATGACACTGCAAAGGACCTTTACCTTAGCCTCTAAAAAAAATAAGCTCACAGTCATAATGTTTCCAGTATATGTGTATGACAGTAGGAATCTGAATGTATTAGCTTTTGTCCTTCAGGTCGTTTGTTGCGAGCGAGGAACGTGGCGTTTAAGTGGCACCAGCTGGCGAGCTGGGTGAACCTGACAGAACAGTGGCCGTACCGCACGTCCTGGCTCATCTACCAACAGGAGGAGACTGAGGACATGGGAGACAACACCACACTCAACATGTTATATGACAGGTGGGACTCAAAACCTGGTATTTTCCTAGAACTATCAAAGAGTGGAACTCACTGCCACCAAGTATAGTTGGGGAATTATCACTACATGTAGATGACAATTGCAGTTAGATGTGCAAAAATTAGGTGTAACAGTTCATTCGGTGCATATAGCTACCAAATTATTGGGTTTACATGTATCAGGTCATTCGGTGTAATATAGCCAGCTGCCATTGCGCCATGTGCCTGAAAAGCTGGTGTGTTACACTGAAGGGTGGTTATACCGGCTATACAGATACAGATACTTCCGTGCCATTTACCTGCATAGGCTATAGCTGGTGTGCTTTGCTGAAGGGCTTGTGTACAGATACAGAATACTGATACAAACTTACAGATTACTAGTTGTTGTCTTTCCCTTAATGTTGGCTACTTTACATGTATGTACAATTTGTACATGACTCCCCAGAATCTCGGGTAAGATCCCCACGTCCCGGGAGATGGAACCCCTGCTGGAGATAGACGGAGATGTCAGGAACTTTGAGCTGTTCCTGATGAACCACTCCCCCCTCCTGACAGTCAGCGACCTGAGGACCTTCCTACCCTCCACCATCAACCTGGACCCTAACATCAAGACTGTCATAGCAGGTGAGACCTCAGATTATGGTAGTGACTGGCTTGAACAAATCAGAAACTGCATTGCATTGGCATTTACATTACAGTATTACATTTACAATATCTAACTTATACAATAAAAACTATGTAAAATATGGATCCCGACATCAAGACTGTTATAGCAGGTGAGAGGGCAGATTGTCAGGTCTAGTAGTGATTTGGTTTATTTATGTATTTTGAACTTTAAAAAAATTGCTAAACAAGTAAATATAATTGAGATATAACTGCTAATATCTAGCAATTCCATGAGACTAAAATCCACTGTTAAAGATTTACAAATAACAATGAGAGGACATTTATGTTTAGTCTTCATAGTCTTTAGTCTTCATAGTCTTTAGTCTTAGCCTAATAAAATACAATAAAGAATAGTCTTTTATCATCAATTGTTGACCCCTAGCCACATTAACAGAAAGGATACCCTGTGCCATGTGTACCATGAGTTCTGCCCTGTGCTGGTGTCAAAATGGTCAGAATATTCCAGGTACTTAATTAATAATAAGGACATGGGGAGATCAGATCTGACTTCTTACCTTACCTAACTGTCTCTTAAAAGTAGACTCTTCCTTTCAGTGGTGTCAGATCTGCGGTGTTCTGACAGTAGCGTAGCTCCTTGTTATACTAAGGTCACACTGATTTAACATGGATGAGATCCTCTGGAGATCCCCAAAACTAAAAAAAAAAAACAGTGAAAAGAAATGCTGCCAACCCATAGAAATACAAAGTTGATACCGGTAAGGTAACGCAACTTGAAACACAGAACTGTTACACAATGGATAATTCAATCATTTTTAAGTAGGTAATATACGGTATTACATGCTCTGGTACAGAACCTGAAAAGATCACACTAAAGCAGCAACCCAAGCTATCACATCTTAGCAGCCTTTTGTGGCACTTACCGTAACAGTTATGAGTTGGCACTGGACTGAGTTCCAGAATTTTGTGGAGCTCGTAATGCTACCAGGTAATATTAAAAAAAAAATGGATGGAAATTGATGAGTTTGCAGATGGCATCCATAAAATTAAGTCAGTGTGGCCTAACCATGGTGATAGGCAGCACAACTGTTCAGTACATGGAGGTGTGTGTGTAAGAGTACTGTGTCTGTAGTGAAGGATGGCTTGTGTTGTATGGCGTTAATATGGTGCTAACTGTTCAGAGTCTTTGTAGCTGAAGGATAGATTCTTCACTGATTCACTGAATTAAGGTGTTACTCCACACAGCCACAGTGTACGGTAGATAGATGCACATGTACATGTAGTATTTCCTAATGCGTACCCTCTTCTTTTGTTGACAGCAGTTGTCTTCTTATTGTTGAGCTTGCCTCAATGGTGCAGGACATTCGCCAGCAAAAATCTGCAAGAATTCACTACACAATACACTAATGATTCAATTTTCTCTATTGTCAAAAAATAATATTGTTTTGACAAAAAATTGACTTTAATTACTGATTTTCAGGAGAGCATCTCAGGTTCAGCCAGTCTCCTGTTCGGCTGCAGTCACCTGTGCATCTTGGATCAGCCTCACCAGGTAACACAAACAGTGCCACTCAATGACTTCCTTCTTCTGCCTTTCAACCTAGGTTCATCTAATGATGAAATACTTCTCCTGATTTCCTACTGTTGACTCTGCTGGCTGGGTACTTACAATGTACCCTGTACAGACTTCGCTGAAATCTGCTGAGAGTCTTACCTTTTTCTTCACAGCATTGCTGAAACCTTTTTCCTGGTGTCTATATGACAGGAGATATCCTGATCTGGTGGTCTGTTTCTCTGGTGATCTTATCAAGGATCTCATTCTTTCTCTTTTTCCACACAGGTTGAGTTACTGGCCTTATTCTGCAATCCCTGGGACTTTTCCAGTATCTTAAGTTGTCTTTCTTATGATTTCTTACCTTATCTTCTTCAACCTCAACAGTACTTACTTTTACATCTCTTCAAGACTTCAATCTCTTAAGTTCCACTATATTCAGCAGGGTCTTCTTTAAGTCTCTGCCTCCTTCAAGTTTACTTTCTCTGCAGAAGTAGCAGCAATCCACCGTAAGAACATGTGTGTGGCAATATACAATATTGTGAAGATCTACTTATGATTTATAATTTACGTGTATTACTGACGGTGTTTAAAACCTTCAAAAAGCCACATTTCTACTAAAATCACAAACCCTGTTACCATTACAAACAGGGGACTATTCCTTAGCCATTGCCTCAAAAAAGAAGTTGTGTTGCTTGTTGTTGTTAATCATCCTCATCTGAGCTTATAATGCTTGTGCAATGCATAGAGAAGTACAATGTATGTAACTAGAAACATCAGATAGAATTAGAGACTACTAGACACCTTGCTGCCTACATGCTGTGTGTTACCTTCGAGCACTAGTTTGCAAGATAAATCAATCTGAAGTGGTCTCCCGCCTTGTTCCCAGAGCACTACGGCCCTTGTCCTTTGCACTACCCCCACACCCATGCTGAAACACACGTGCACCGCCGCCACACCCCCTCCCCCATAGGGAGAACCCTGTCCCCCTGCTTACGCCAGCCAGACGTAGGTTATCGTAGGGAGCCTGTCTCTCCTTACTCTCGCCAGACGTCTGGTACCGTGGCTTCACCGTCAGGTATAGCGTGATGTGTGCAGGGTGGAATTTTCTCGTGCTTGACCTAATTTACTTTGTACAATTACAGTGGACAAAAACCTGTCGGTATGAAAACTGCATACGCACACAAGTCTACGAAAACTGTATGTCAAACTTTTCCTGCATTATTGTGAATCAGCTTACTTTGATGTCAAGTACGCACGTTCAGATCGTACATTACCTCAAAAGCTAAAATACATCAAAGCAGGCCAAATTACTCGTGGGAAGAATTTGATGTACATGTATGCAGTTTTATATGCTCGAATGCATACATAGTTTTTGTATTGTCAGGATTTTGCCCGCATGTAGGTTTTCCTTTTCTGCTGTGGTGATGGGGTTGAATTAAACATTCGAATGAATACATCATATAATACTTCATCTTTATCTCACAATAGAATGCTTCATATTCCTCAATCAACATCATAATAATTATTATAATGTCTTTCATGACTAATATAATCTTTCTCTGACAAGGATTGCAGTGATTTTTTTCTCCCTTTGAAATACAAAGAGTACTTATCGGTTTTAAATCCCTTAATGCCTGACATTGTAGTTGTAGTGACCTTACCACAGTCTTCTAAGTGTGTGTGTTTGTGTGTGTGTGTGTGTGTGTTGGTTTGATTTTCTTCCATGTATCTCTTTTGTAATCCCTCTACTGTTCTGCCACTTTCTTCCCTTGCCTGTCTTACAGTGTACAGGTGCATACCTCAATCTACTTTATATGTACTCTCCAAGCAGAGGTTGGTGGGGACGATTGTGACCTTTCATCTTAAGCCAGGTTTTCTGTCACAACTCCCCACCACCCAGAAAACGGCATAAGATCACAATCTTTCCTACCAACCTCTGCTTCAAGTATTAATGAATATATATAATTGTTTCATCACTATCCATTCTGTGACTGTCTTTCTCCTAAGAATTACATGACTAACCTCTTCCTTGTACCCTGTCTGTGTTACAAACATGTACATCGTCATGTAGCTTCTTCCTTCCATGCTCAAACTTAAAAACTTTTAACCGTCTATCACCATTGATCTGTTGTCTTTGTTCCCCACTTCTGTTTTTATTCCCCGTCCCTCCTGTCTGTGTTACATACATGTACATGTAAGACATACATGTAGGAGTGTACATGTATGTGTGAGGCACATGTGTGTAAGACACGCAGTGACTGACAGCCTCTGAGCTGAGCGTTGGTCTCCCACGCAGATCTGTACGAGACACAGCTGGAGGCCATGTTGGAGGGGCAGCGCAGCGGATCATCGCACACGCTGGTCAGCGTCGGCAGTACAGCTGCAGCTGCAGGGGCAGCAATGCAAGGTATGCAATAGCTACTAAATGTATCAGAAAATCCAACCAGAGACATGTGGGATATAGATTCAGTCACGTTTGGGACACAAAATGGCAAGGAGTATTCAAAATCACATTCAGGATCACATCAGTTGGCGTGACCATTCATGACGTCACACTTAAATAAAGTTCACTTAGCCTTGATGAAGATGATGAAAGATTGCAGTAAAATGCTAGTTAATGGATGTGGAACTTAGAGAACTTTGTTTAGAAAAAAACGTGTGTGTAACTGTTGATGACAAGAAAACAGTTACAGGGAACAGTGTCTACAATGCAGTCACAAACGTACAGGAGTGTTATATGACTAGATTGTCATTTAACACAATTACTTCTTAAGAATGTGGTTTCCAAGTATGACACAAGTATATGACTACATGTAAATGTATGACTGAGTCTGTATACCCCATCATCATGGCATCTACATTGTATAGCAGCGACACCTTTGCTGTGTAATGTGAACCAGTCAGAATTTCCATGAGGAAGGTAACAGATGGTAACCAAAAAGTTGGCTGAATAAAACACTTGGTTCAAGTTGGTTATGTATAAAGAGTCTCTTTATTCAGTAACATACCAACCTGATGAAACTATTCACGCTTAAGATTTCTGTAACATGAGGAAAATGATGAATCTCTTCTCAGCTGCTCCAATAGAAGTGGTGAACCCCCTGGCCGGCAGCAGGACGTCCCTGCACAGTAAACCCCCCTCCGCCCGCGGATCCAGGGTCTCCCTGCTCACCCAGCACGAACACAAGTCCCCCCCTCCACCGCCGCAGCAGCAGCAAGCCTCTGCCACAACCACCCCGCTAACCCGACCGTCTGCGCTGGCTCTCCGGTCATCACTGCACACCATGCAGGTCAAGGTACTGTACTTCACTTTGTCGTTGCAAAATTTCACCATCTGATGAAAATGGAAATGTTAACAGAACTTAATCTTTGTGGTGGTGGTGGAAAGTAATGATAAGTTCAGAGTATAGATTAAGTGTTTTCAGTGTAACTTGAACAAGAACCTAAAATATGCTTATCCAACTTCAATGAAGATTGTCAATATCTTTGAAGAAAAAGGTCACTAAGTCTTACTGCTGTGCTCAAGTGTTCTGCAAGGGGGCACTGTAGTGGCAAAGGGACACTTTTGAAGAAGATGAAGATTGATGTTTCCTACATTGTACATATGCTAGCCAATATTGGCTCCTTAGTTTTTAGTGCCTTTAAAGATAATAAATGGGGGTGACTGGTCTGCAAAGTCTTCTCATCTGGCTACCATCAGTTTTTAGAGTGCTACATTTGTACACATGTACATTATGATGTCCTTACAATACTATGCTCACTATTCTATGCATGGCTACCTGCTGGTCAGGTTTCTATTTGAATGTGGTGCATCATTTTTACCTCTAACAGCTAAGCGACAGTAAAACTTGACTACCAGGATGGCACTAAAATTGTGGTTTTTGCAGGAGTATTTATAGCTTACATGTATATTGTTACATGTACGCCACAGAAGGAAATCAACATTTTCACCTTCGGAAAAGATTCTAAATCAGTGTTTATTTTATTTGTGTGTTTGTTTGTTTGATTGTTTGTTCGGTTGGTTGGTTGGTTGGTTGCTTCTTTGCTTAAGAGTATTACAATATTTTCAGTCTGAAGACAGACTATTATTTTTTACCTACTTTGCTAATGGTCAGTATACGTATAACACATAACACAAAACATTAATGCCAAATGTAGCATGCCAACATGTGGGTTTATGTTTGTCCTTGGATGGGCTAATGATGAAGGATCTATTACATGCACGACTGAACCGCACCAGAAATAACAGGCTCATACCTGCTGGGACTGGCATTCTGGACTTCCAGGCATGTCAAATGTATCAGAAGGACTACATTAATTTTGTATTTGTCAACCCTCTTTGCATACTAAAAACATCTTCTATGAAGGCAAAGACTCTGTTGTGTGTATCTTTGGCCATAGTTGGCTGTTGTTTGGGAGTAGTAGGGCATTGTTGGGAGTCAAATTTGCCAAAGATTTGACTCGAATGTAACTCAATTTTTTTTCAATTCCTATAGAAGGTAGGCGTGGCCTGAAATTGGTCAGACTGCTTCTGAAGATCAGCTTAAACGTTGGTTGTTTGGTGGTTGGGGGAAGATTCTGAATGTATAACGGGCTTAAGGCAAGGCATATGGTATGTATACTAGAAAAACAAACCTACACTTCTTAAAATAAAGTTAAAAAGCTAACCAACTGAAGGTAGATTGAGCTTCAAGACAATGACAAGCGAAAACATATGCTTTGAGACTTACAAAAAGCTATTTGCTTATTATGAACCTTTTAGCTTTACCATATGCATAATCACTAAGTATTGAAGATTACATGGAACCCCCAGGTGTACAGCAATGTACCTGGACATGTAGGAAACATGCCATCAGGTTGCCTGGGGACCAGTTTTAGGCAGTTCTCCCTGGGATGTGTGCAGACATACAGGCTCCACTGGCAGGAGTACTATTGATTCTGCTGTCTGATAACCCAGGCTGATCTAACCTGTATTGAGAGATAAGTCCACATCCCAACACTCAGACTGGCCTGAGCAGTGGTAAACATGTTGGGATAGATTATTCAGTAAATTTTGTGTAATTTGACTGTTATAATGGCACAGGTGGGAATTCTGTTGAAGACTTTGAGAACATCTTGTCTGGACACAATCACATTGATTTCATAACAAATTTACACTGTATAATTCTTTGTGCAATTAATCTATTCTTGTGCTTTACATACAGTCTGAACATACGTGTACCTGCCTTTTGTGATTTTCCTACATTTGTAACTCAAGAGTGTGTACTACTTACATGTACAAATGTATATCACTAAATGCTTAGCTACATGTACATCTACTCTTGACATATTCATGACAAGGATACAGCAAGAATATTATGACAGAAGGCTTCAAAATCCCCTACGACTGACAAAATGTAATGTCCCCATGAAATTGGCCTTCGGATTACAAAATCCAGGACAAAGATTTAGATGACCTTGCACAAGAGAAAGGTGTCGTCTGCTTGTTTGTTTTGGCCCATTCATTTCATTTACATGTACATGCAGTTTAAAGAGTCTGGTTGTGACTTGATTATCAGGATAGAGTTCAACAAACTGGATTGCTATAGACTATTCAATCTGATGAAAGATAGTTACATCTTGGCTCTTTCACAGCAAAGTTATTTCCATTGATTTTTGTTCATCAAATCAAATCAAAGTCAGACAGTGTAATGAAAATCGAGAGCGCTTAAATGCCCATTCATTTAGATTTTCCTCTTGTTTTTGTTATGACTCTAAATCTTTACACAATGTAAGTGACACATATACAACTAATCCAAGACCATCCAAATTATGTTAGAATACCCAGGACTGGAATACCACCACCTGCATATGCAGGTTAGTGCAGATAAGATGGAGCTGTGCAGGTATTTCTGTTGTCTACCCACACCAAACCTGCACTGGTCGATGTACATGTACTGGTTTTATATACATCTATCATATACAAGTCATATAGGTGTACATGTATATAGATTTTTATTTGCTGCATCAACAAAAAAAGAAATAATGGCAATGGTTTCTGATCCATGCTTCCTAAGTTCTGAATGGTGAAGGTAAAACTTGTCTGGTGCAGGTAACTTTCAATGTTATAACCTGTGCAGAAAACAGTGTTTCAGCACCAAGGACAGAGGCATGTTCAATCCTGGATCATACTGTTCTCACTATAATCAAGCAACACACTGGAAGAATTAAGGGATAATTTCACATTCCCATTCTGTCATTTGCGTCATAGATGCCCGATGCCATCCTGGAAGCATTAAACTAAATCTCCTTCATGGAGGCCACATCAATTTCATTTGTTGGTTCTCTGATCTTTTTTCATAAAAAAAATGAAGACATGTGACAGGGAGAAAAAAATAGGCCAGGACACTCCATGATAGGTCAACATACTAAGGCTGGGTTACAATTCATACATTTTACAATGAATTTTAAACATTTAATGAAACCACTGCATTGAAAGATGGAAAAAACTAGGAAGACTTTCTTTAACTGTTGGAGCCAAAATATTGAGCATTTTTGGAGTTAATTCAGATCCTCAAATCTTTTTTTTTGCTACATGTAATCAGAAAGAAATGAAGAGGTAAATCCAAGAACCAAATTATTGATTAAGTTGGTGTAGCCTGATATATACTGCTAGTAAAAATGACATGTAGGTGAAGTGTGGGTTGAACTTGAGCCTTGTATGTGCCGAGTTGACCTTGTAGCCATGTCCAGATGATGTGAACTGTAGCCAGTGGTGAGTCATCCTCCCACTACTTCCATCACATTGCCCTTCTGTGTGGGAGGGAAGCTCACGTTTGCTGTGACTCAACATTAAGGTTTATCTTAATTTGCAAGTCAGTTATAATGGAATCAACGAGTCTCAGCATTACTTCAGCAAATGATCTACAGTAAATGATATTTAACAATTATAGGGAAGGAAATTGTTACTCAAGAAACAGTACTGGATACAAAACTGTCAGCTTTCAAACTCCATCCAGTTGCTTGAGTAACAATTTCCTTGACAAGTGTACAATGTATCTCATTACCTGGATGTCTAACCACCATTGACGATAAGTATTATGAGTGCATGTAATAAGCACAATTTAATGAGAAGGATATATTCCTCAAGCTTGCAGAGGACTAAAAATCCTTTTTTTCTGTTACCTACGCAAGTTGCGTAAAAATTTACAAGCAAATAAAATATTCTGCAAATACAAGCTATTCTTCCTTCCCTTTTATTTGTTCCATTTCACTTATGACTGACTAAATTGGCATTCATAATACCAAGTGTAAAATCTTGCAATTGTAAACTTGTATATCTATCCTGCAAAATTGCAAGTGGTCTACATTGCAATTAAGAATACTTGTCTCCAAATTGCAAGTTTGGCTACAAAATCAGAGCAGTAAAATGTCAATGAACTCAGCAAAAACAAATCTTGTGTTATCTCATTAGATATTGATTTGTCTTAGAGGATGATTCCAGGCTATTTCTATTCATGTGTTATTGGCATGTTGTCGGAAGATGCCAATTGAATGGTGCCAAGTTTATTGACCATGTGTGCAATTAAATTTCCCATGTATGCAAATTAACGTATTGACCGTCCCAGGAGAAAACCAGTTTTAATCTGGTGCCAAACCAGTTTATTTCCACCTGATGATTTTTTGTGAGGATCAGATGCATACCGTAGCTTTTGTCTTTTGTTTTCATTCTATTTGTTAAAAAAATATCACCCAAAATATGCAGTTTCAGCTGTGATTTGTAGTGTGTTTTACTGAAAAAAGATGAAAAACAATGATGCATATAAATTTTTGCGTAGACTTTTTCATCTATAAGTTAACCGCTACTTGGCAATTTGATCACATTTGTACACCACTGTGTGACAAGGTGTCCACTCAAGGGGAGAAAATACATTAATTTTGTTTAAAAAACAGGTGGTCACTATATAGACAGGATTTTTGCTTCAGTGTGAAAAATAATCATACAGACCGTAAAAAAGCTATTACAGTCTGACTGCAAGAAAGTCTCAGACCAGAAAATGTTGATCCTCATCGCCTACATTGTCAGCACAGTTACTGTACATGTACGTTAGGTGTGGCAATCAGATATATGAGCTTCCCAGTTGTGCAGTGAAGCATGGCTCTTGAATATTTCACAGTTTCTGTAGACGGTCATATTCCATCAGTTTGGCGACTGCCTTGGGAATTTTGAGTACTTCATCAACGTCGATACCTGCATGATAGGAATGTTTTTCAAGGGTGTCATCAAAAATTAATAATGTACAGTTGCACATGACTT